ATTGGATGGTCGCCTTTCACGGGCAAACACGTACACCGAACTTGAAAACCTTTAATCGCCATTAGACGAAGAAGGTGCGACAATCAGACCGCTCCGCCTTTAATGGAATTTTCTTACACGCAATTAGGTGGAATTTATTATTGTACATAGCGGTTTCTATCGTTCGCTTTTCAACGGTTATAAGCTCTATTGTTTGTAAATCTAATCGCCAGCGTGTTGCTACGATGCGATGTTACACCACACTGCGTATGGAGCTTTCTTTCGTTCCTGTATCATTGAATTAGGTTTTCCCATTGAAATGGGCGTCCCGCCAGAATCGGAACGCCTGTGTATCTCGCGAGTGTCTCTAATGATACCGAAAGATGTTTTAATCATGATCTGATTTGGCTTTCTGCGAACGTAGACGCTATAAGAGAATTCATTCTTTCGTGATCGTACGATGATAAATCCTCTTTGTCGTAGTATAGTACTTAATTGTCGTTCGAAATACAATTTTTGTAATTGTTTTATGCTTGCGGTGCTTCGAAGTACAAATACGTATTTTTAAATCGTGTATTATAGAAAAGGAAGAAATTAGACTATGTAGTACAATTAGCTGAATTTAATAAGTATCGAGTATCTATTTAATACTTGCGACTTATTATTGTGCATTACTAATAGAAAATTGTAAATGATTAAAAATGTTGAATTTTTCAGTCGAATATTTTTTTTGTATCGTGTATTTTTTTGTAAATATTGAATTTTCTGTGAATTTTTAGAATATTGAATTCTTTCAGTATATAAATCTTATTGCCGATTTGAGATCGCTATTATTAATAGTAATTTCTGCTTCATTTTCCTATTTCAATGTTTCTCCGAATTATCTTATTTCTTAATTTGTTTTACGTTTCTTTTCCTAAATTTTCAAGGTTTTGATTATCATTTCGCTTACTTTCGAATCACAAAATTGAAAGAATTTAAATTACAGAAGGTTCCTAGAACACGTGGAGGGAAATTTATTTAAAAATAATATTCTTCGTATTCTTCTATTCGTTTATTTCTTTTACAAACTTTCCTGTTCTAAGGATTCTAAGGAAGGTTTTCTAAGGAAACATTCATATCACATTTCGATAGTTACAAATACACAAAGCTATTTTCGATTTGTGAACCATCGATAACATAGATATCAGAAACTCGATAGAAATACTCAAAACTACCGACTATCAGAAAATAAGAAACGATTCGAAGCAAAGAATTCTTTCGTCTGAACGAATAAAAATAATATCCCAAACCTAATATCTCCGTATATGTTAAATCTATATAAATGATAAAAACGAACGTAAGTGAGTGCACGAGTCGTTGTATCTGTCCGCTTAAATATCTTCGAAAACTCCACCCTGCAGTTCCTTCAGTTGGTTATTGTAGATATACAAGAAGTTCCCTCTAACCAGACTCAGCCCATAAAGAGCACCGTTTTGTAGCGTTTGCAGCGGATTCTTCGAAATATCCAGAATACTCAAACTTCCTAAATTCTTGCAGGAACCTTTCGGTATTTCGTTGATTTGATTCTCATTTAACCAAAGGCGTTTCAATTGAGGCAGACCTTCGTAACTGTCGCCATCGATAGTCGTCAACGTATTGTTACTCAGATGCAAATCTCTAAGAGTAGGTAGATCGAAGGTTCCTTTTGGGATAGTCGAGATTTTATTTCCAGTGAGAGACAACGTAAATCTGGGAACATTGACGAAGCTAGCCTTTTCTAGGCTGTTTATTTCGTTGAAATCGATGTGAAGGAAGTCCAAAGTCTGAGGTAGATCCGAAAAAGTGTCGGCACTGATCTTACCCAGTTTATTCCAAGCCAGGTTCAAGTCTTTCAGACTCTCCAATTCCGAGAACGTACCCTTTTGAAGCTCTGTCAGACTATTTCGATGAAGATAAAGAGTAGTCAACTGTTTCAAATCGGAGAACGCCTGACGTTCGATATCTGTCAGGCTGTTTTTAGTAATAATCAACACCTGCAACGAATCCAACCCCTTAAATACGTTGTTCTGCAGTTTCTGAATCTTGTTGTTAGCCAGGTTCAGGTAGACCAGGCGAGGCAGATTCGAGAAAGCCGCGTCAGGAATGGCAGAGATCTGATTTGCCGCTAATATCAGCTCTGTCAGAGTATCGGGCAAACTAGAAGCGAACGAAAGGTTCTCCAGCTGATTTCCATTAAGAAACAGGGTAGTCAAATTGGTTTTCGCGAAAGCATCATCCTCCACTTTGTCTATGAGATTGTTTCGAAGATTCAGTATTTTTAGGTACTTGTTTTCGATCACCTGGCTCCAGATACCTCTGATCCTATTGCCCATCAGATTCACATAAATCAGATCCTCGGGAAGATCGTTCAGTAGTTCCTTGGTGATTTCTGTGATCTCGTTGTTCGCAAGGTCCAAAGAAACTAACGGAAGATATTGTAATTGGTACCATTTTTCGTGGAATCCTTTGATTCCTAATCCTCGCAGGCTGACAGATCTCTCCTTCTCGTTCACTGGTATCTCCAGACATCCATTCGCCACCTGTTTATTGTCTTCGAGTGGTTCTATAGATAGCAGTATGTTATTTGATATGCACAATTTTAACTTCTGGCCTTTCTTTATCGACGATTTCGTGTATGGCGCGAAATCCTTCAACACGTTACTCTCTGTCGCCTTTTCTATCTCTTTATCTATTCCATCGTTGGGTTGTTCGATATATTCTTCAGCCTTCACCTTCTCCAAATATTTCAACTCCTCGTCGTCTTTCAGGAATGAATTCGTGAATGTTCCCGTGCTTATGCTCCAAAGAACGTTTCCTTCTGTTAATATGCTGGTGGATTTCGTTAGACCGAACAAATGTCCTCTACGAAGATGTATTATGGGGTTGCAGGAAATGTTCAACACCTGAAGCTTCTCCAAGCGGATGAACAAGTTTTCGAGGCTGGTTAAGTTGTTCTGCGCTAAGGATAAGTATTCTAAGTTTGTCAGATTGGAGAACATGAATTCTGGGAGCGATTCGAGCGAGTTATTGGCCAAGTTCAAGGATTTTAGAGATGGTACGTTGTCGAAAGCGTTCTTTTCTAAGCGAAGAATTCCTAAGCCGGATAAATCCAGCTCGTCGATGAGTTTGTCATGGAATTGTACGTCTTTCAAGATTCCATCCACCAGTTCCAAGTTGTACCCCTCTAGCGTTGGATTCAGTGGCGCCGCTAACACCAATGGCAAGCACAGAAGAAGAAACATCCTTAGTACCTAGGGGAGAGAAGGATTTTATCGTTTAAAAAATGTTACTTCGTTACGATTGATAATCTTGTTGTCGATCTTCTATGATTCTCTGATTATCAGAAAACAGACTATCTGATCGAGCTTATTAGTTATTTTACTTTAAATGTAAAATATAATTAGCTTTATACCAGGTGCCGTCTTGCACGATAATTTTACCAATTAACGATATTAGTAAATTGTCGAGTTACAGGTTGTAAGTTACGTACTTAGTTTTTATAATTTTATAGTTTCGCGTTGAATAGGATAATCGGACGATTTATAATCCACAAAAATTGTTCGTTAAATTTCATTTGATCTGTTATCGTTATATCTGTAAGAAAATTTATCAACATGGATAATTTATAATTTATGACTCGTAAAATTCCATTAATAATATTTGCTTATTATTATTGCTTATAGAAATTTAATATATAATAAATTTAATATATCGATATAAAATTTGAGCCTATTAAACGTACAGTATCTAATGTGTAACAATGAGTGGATGACATAACGTGTAGATGTGTTATGGGACGATTCGTGGAATTGTATTTTTTGCAAATTTTGAGATATAGGGGATCGAAAAAGAAATTTTATCTTCTTGGATAAATTTTATTAGGAATTTTTAACGGATAGAACCGAAAGAAAGTAGAACAAAGATACAAAAAAAAAAAGGAATTTCGTATTTATAACTGCGAATTAAGCGTTTAAGAAATTACCAAAGCGAAGCGAGTAAAAACAAAGAAACATACATGGGAAGTCTACGCGACCAGATTTTGTTTTTCTTCATTTCCCTCTCTTTTTATGGAAATGAGATAATTTATTTCACAGCTCCGTGTTATGTTTGCACGAACATACCAGTAATATTATCGCGTCAGTAGAATATACCGACGTTGCTTTTAGCGAAAGACGTGAAAGAGGAATGACGTTTAACACGTTCTGAAATTTGTAAAATGGTATTTTTTCGACTGTTTTATGAATCCTCCTGGTAACTCCGGGATTGTTGAAATTACCATAGCCCTTCTTTTACATCTTGAAGGAAACTTGCATTACGTATGGAATAACCGGTTCTACCACTTCTTGAAATCAAAGTTACGAAGCTCCGTTTATTTGTTTTCAACGACTTTTCTTTTTAAGTTTGAACAGCTTTGTGTTAGTAAGACGAGATGCTAGTCCCTGGTAAGTAATTGCGACGCGACGAGCAAAGTAAAGTCGCAGGGTGATATAAAGCTGAAAGCTGCGCGAATAAGGCTGTAAAATTTTATTACGAACTTTCAAACTTTTGCAATAATAATTCCCTTTTTATTAAGATTGATATTTTATAGATGAATGTCGCGTTTTCGTATTATGAATGAATAATAATGCAAGTTTTTATATTATATATTTATCTTGATAAAATATAATTAAAAACTTTTTTTTTTATAAGCTTTCAACAGCTTTCTCGTCCGTCTGATTTTTTTATGACTATCCCGCCTTTTTTTGCTGTTTTCTCCTTCTTTCCTTATCGGTTTTATGCGTCTTACGTTGTAAAAATTTATACGTTTCTCCTACAACATACGTATATCGTATATTTATAAAATGGTAAAAATCGTTAGGATATATAAAATTTAAAGCATGATATACACTAAAAATTCTTAATCCTTAGCCATATACTACTAATACACTTATTAGGGAATTAAATTTCTTCGTATAAAATTCTTCTTCTATTATATTATTGTAACATTTTATAGTATAATAGCGTTTTTCGAAAGCTCACTATTGCCATCGTAATTACTGTAATATTTAAAATTTCGTCTGAAATTTCACTTTACTATGAGGTATATAATCATAAAAGTCACTTTTAAAATTCGTTTTCTAAAAGACTACCATTTGTAACTGAGCGTGAATCGCACCAATTAATTACATTTTAAATATTTTTAATCAAATACTTCGCTTCATTCCGATAGTCACTATTACTGTGCTCAAGATTTCGCTTAAAATTCTTACCGTAAATTCTCTGCATTTAGATAAAAATAATTGTTATACTTAATTTTCTAAGTAACTATAATCATGGAATTATTTCGAGTGTAGATTTCCTTAAGAGAAACACAGTTTTATCTTGAAGAAAATTTGAAAAGTCTTATGTAACAGTATCCAAAGCAACAAAAGTAGGAAAGAAAAGAACGACAAATTGACGTAAAAAGAAAATGATTTTTTAATCACTTTACATTTGTTGTCAACATTCTTTTACGTAGCTTACTTTGGATGCTATTACAAACATATTCTGGTGGAAATTCGGTCTCGTTCGAAAAGCAAGAGAAATCGACAAAAAATATGTTGACCTTTGGAAGTACAAAAACGTCGGACTTCGGGTGTTTCCTTCTCGTAATTAATTGGTAAAAGTAAGCAGGTATTTTCAGGGTATAATACATTTTTAAATAAAATGTCTTCGTAATCTTAACAAAGTGTATGCAAAGATACCTACATAAGATACCGGCCAAAAGTTCGAGATCGCACACGTGTTCCATAAAATCCAAGGATTTAAAAGAAAGTCGAGTTGATCTTCCGTTTAATCTTTGAAAAATGCTAAGATACTTTCCTTATAACTACTCTTGAACTAAAGAAAATGACTAATTTCGAATTAATAATAACAAAATTAGCGACAGATTTATCGCAACTACGATCGACAAAGTGGATCTAATTTTTGAACCGCCGGAATATACGTTCTTACCTTCGCGATAAACTCCGTTTATTTTAGTATATAATCCAGTATACGATAAATTTTCAAATAAATGTCTCGCATTGGCAACGAACAAACTTTACAATATCCGGGAATTCCAGGAACCACGTCAAAAAGGAAATACAAATATTAAGTTGTCCGAAAAGTATGTTTCTTTCGCAAACGTGTTTTTTTATAACAGTGCACCTCCATACAAACGTGAAACCAAGTATGTGAAAGGTCGCGGTGTTTATCTCGACAGAACGAAATGGATCGTACGTAATTCGGCAAAATAATATAAAACGTTGTGCGTCTATTATTTCCTCATAAAACGAAAGAAACTTTTCGGACAACCTAATACATAGCGCGTGCAATCGTCTATATACTCTGGAATACGATGGATTCTCGAATAAACGTGATCGCATGATCGCAGGAAGAAGCATCGTCCATCGCATGAAGGACGTGCATTGTCCTTCTTACCAGTCCTACGATCCACGATCTATCGGTATTCTAGAAACCGCGTATTACAGTATAATTTGCCCTGAAGTAAATGTTTCGCCATCATATAGTAAAAAGAAGCTGCGTGACGATATAGTTGCTTACCTGAATGAGATCCGCGGGCTATGGAAATTCTAAAAACCGTGTACTTAGAACCGTAGACCGAAAAGGACTGTAGCGTTCGTCTACTCCTGGAACGTAGTTCTCTCGCAACAGGATTCCTTGGGACACGGCAATCGCGAAAACAGGTCTTGCAAGCTTTTATACCCCGTGGATTTTGCGTGTGTTCGAGGGTTCCATAGATCTGTGCACGCACGCGTCGCCATGTATGTAAGCATCAGGATTGAACAGTCTGAGTGGGAGGTGATGTTAAAGAGGACAAAAAGAGGAACGAACGTTCATGGAACTTCGTTAAAACTGGTAGCTATTAGAGACGAAATCTCGTCACGTATCGACTGTCAGGGAGCAGGAAGAAGAGTGGACCGAAGTTACGCTACGCGACCTTCCTTGAATCGAACCGAGTGTATTATTAATTCTAATCCATTCGAGCAACCAGACTCTATAGATTTTCCCAATCTATTCGAAACAATGGCTTCTGTTGGGCTGTTCGTTGTTTCCTGCAGATTTTCTACTTGGGTTCTCTAAATTGAATCGAGAAAGACGCAGGTAGATTGCAGCATCGCCGTTGGTTCGGGGTTACGAGCTTGCTTGAATCTTGCAATAGATTTCCTTTCCTTCCCTTTTATATTTTTATACTGTTACGCGAGTGTAGTTTTAACGAGAATAGGGGAATGACTTTGAAAGTAGTGTTTCACAGTGCTGTCGTTGTGAATTTGACGTTGGCCTCGTGCAACTTCCATGGAATTAATTTCATATGGGAAAGAAGTAGGGAGTTCAGTTAAAAATTCCACGTTATTTTTATGAAGAGTTTTATTCGTATGTGATACGTGGAATTTGAAAAATGTCGATATATTAAAAAAAAAAAAAAAGGAAATGTATCAAAGGTTTTAAGGTAGAAAGGTTTTAAAATAGAAGTAGTAAACGTGAAAAATAAATTGATAAAATGTGAGTAACAATTAAAGAACGAGGCAAGTGAATTACAGTGTTGAAACAAAAATCCAAGTTCCTAAAGACTCTTCATCTTATTCGCCAAGAGAAAGTAAAACGCATTATAAAACGAATTTTATGTTGCCACGCAGGAATACTTAAAGAATGTAATTTACTCGTTTATACATACATAGTAAGTAGTGTAGTTCGATTATTACGCTGACAGTGAGTGAAAAATATATATATAAAGAAAGAAATGGAGTCGTTGACGAATACCATGATTTACGTTCCACACATGGAAACGTCGCGTAAAAATAGGAAGAACACGCTTCTTTTATCGATAAGCGAAAGAAGATATAAAGCTTTATATGGATTATCGTACGATCTTCTTTTTATATTAACAATAATCTTTTGATATGTTTTTATTATTTCGGCTTATCTTCTTTTCCATGTCGCGAGAAGATTCATTTCAAATTCCACGTGCGGTCGAGCACTTATTACGGTGTGTACTGTAAATTCTTAAAGTCGTAGGAGTCGTATTTCGTACGACGTCTCGCTCGATATTCTCTACGAGAATATAGAAAAATTTGACGAAAGCGAAAAAAGAAAAAGAAGAACGAGTGGTACGGAACGTGCATCTTGAACGATAATTTTCCACGATAAATACTGTCCACAGTTCAAAGTACACGCCTTTGTAATCGAACCCGTAGCTTCCAGTTTCGTAAGAAAATAGTTCGAACAGAAA